GTGCTGGCACCACTTCCCAATAGCAATGTTCCAGAAATACAGACACTGTAATCATAATGAGACAGTCTGTTAGAGTATTTAGAGACTCTACTGATATATACATACACCCCACATTCGTAGTCAGATTGCTTGAAGTGATAATGTGGGTGCTGGATACATAGTGAGACTGTCCCGCATCAATACATAGCGATGGCATTCCAGGTAAGATTACGCCTATCACTTCTCAATCACACACATTCCAAATTTTTTGTTAAATGTGTTGACACTGCATTCCTAGTGAAAGTGTGAAGATATCCTATGGGTTGTTGCCCTGCGTAGATTTGTAGAAGGTTATCAACGTTGCAGAGGTGTTTGCTGCTGCCATCATCAGTGTGATCTTCATACTCACCACCATCAGAATCTCAGTCCTACATTCACAGGTTATGTTTTCATTTGATTCAACAGACCACCATCATAGAATAATTTTTCAAGAGGTATATGGAAAGGAATATTTTCTGTCTGTACTAAATTGACATATACAAAGGCTACGAAGCAGACAAACTAAAGATTTGAAATTCTTTACAAAAAATGTTTCAGATTAGATAAATTCAAGTTCATGTAAAGTTATTTTCAACGTCAGTAGTCTCAGTTGCTGTGTAGTATAATATTGTATAAGACGAGAAATTAAATCGGAATGAAGGGTTTGGTTACCAAGGTGCAGTACCAGAAAATCAGTAGCGCAGATAACTAGTAAACTGTGCTGTAACTCAGTAAAGTTACATGCACACAATACCTCCTCGCATATCCTGTTGCCTGGATACCGAGAAAGAAATTAAAAATGGCGTCTTTCTACTTATAGCTATGTAATTTTGGCTTCAGAGGTAGTATGTAGTAGTAGTAGTAGTAGGTGTGTATTGAATTGTCAGGCAAATGTGGTTCTTGCTGAAGGTAAGTCAAAGGAGGTGTGACGTGTGATGTTTGTGATTGGTGGTTCCATTGGGAATGTGCCAATATCACTAAGAGTGATGTAGATGCTGACAAGCCTTGGTATTGTATGGTGTGCCAGCAAGTTAGGAAGTGTAAGGTGCAGGAACAAACCACGACACATATTACTGCATACACTTAATTGACTCCATGGAATAAAGTCCTTGAATAGGTAACACATTTGTATGCTCAGCTAGTTGAAAAACACCTCGAAATTGATGGAGTCCTAAGGTTCATTACCCTATCTGCAATACCCAGTCTGATGGAAGCCTGCAAGCATTTCTGAAGTACTTACTCCCTTCCATGAGAACCTCAAATTCTATCATCAAAAAATTCTTCTAGAATGCCTTAAACAGTGTGATTGTTTGAAATGATGTGTAATCCTGTCAACCTCTACATCCTTAATTTGATTACCTATATAATAAATAAAGTTTACTAATTATGAATCTCCTATTTATGGTAATTTTTGCACTCTTCTATTGTACTTCGATTTGTTTCAGGTACTACATGTTTTGGGTAAAAATGTATTCAGTCCGAACTAGCAAAGAATTCTGTCAAAAGTGTTAACAGTTACAAATGTGCTTGAATTCACTTCACATGTACTTTTTAATGATGCTATGCTTATGGAAGGCCTTTTCTTTTGTTTCTAGTCCCTTTGTTTACTCACTTTAACAATGTGGTTGAAGGGTATGAAGCATTGCATATAACCTTTTCATTTAACTTTATTATTTATTTAGTGTTCTGTCTGATGACAGGTCCATATGAAGAGGATCCTTCCATCCTTTTCTCCGACTGGGACCTGTTCATATACGTTCTTGGCAGATGATCCAGAAGTGGTTTCCCATTGCCTTCTGTGTGTGAATGGAGTAATTGTTGGGATCCCACGGAGAAACCGGGGAAGGCCCCGGAGGAAAACTCCCGTGTTGCCTAGACCACGGCCTTGCCCAACACAAGTTGCAAATTCCATTTAGAATAAAGTGTTCTGAGCATTTTATTTTTAAATTTTACTCTTTATTTGTAACACATACAGATACGTTGTTGCAAAGCTGTTTGCACCTAACAAACCTTCATCAGAAGCTGACAGTCTGTTGACTAGTGAAATAATCAGCCCAAAGGTACGCTGGCAGATTCAGGAAAACCTGCAAGGCATCCTACTGCAGTCAGAAAAACATTCACAGTATCAGCGTACATATTCATCATACTGTAAAATGTTAAAAATAAAAGTTATGCCTTCTCAAATCTTTATGTTCATAATAGTACTTTTGCAGATTTTTCAAAATAGCACTGAATTTAAATTTAAGGTAAAGACAGAAAAAGGCACAAATACTTCGTTAAGATTTATTACTTAACGTAAATTTATGGTTTTCCACAATACGAATACGATACGTTATGTTGCTGCCCCTGGAGGGGGGCTGCTGCGCCATCTGGTGGCGAAGGTTTGAACTAATGGGCCCGCGAAAAATTTTCTGGCCCGTATACCTCCTCGCATATCCTATTCCCCGGATACAA